GCATCAAAAATCACTTCAGATATCCTCTTCAACCATAGAAGCACATATGAGAAAAGTTTCCTCAGTACTTTAGCATGTTGCATTTTTTCTTTCTTGTCCATTACTTAAATCATGTCATATATTTGCTTCATGCAGTTTTTTTAATTGGCAATTGTATCACATTTCACTTTAATTTACAACAATAAAAGTAAACAGGGAAATGTGAATGTGAAAGTGTGTCCACTGAACGTCATCTCCTCGCATTTAGAAGCTATTCTTAATTATGTCACCTCCTTAAAGGGATAGTTGAATATTTTGGCAAATTTGCTTATTGCATTAATCCCTATAGTCATATAAGCAGGTACAGTCCCTTTAATTATCAGTGCCTGTTGTTTTGAGAGTCCATAAGAGCATTTTGGAATTGTAGGATTGTGTATTTGATTAGTTTTGAGGGATGGAGCGACCTGTACCATCCACCTCCATTGTGTTCACTGAGCAGCGCACATCTCTGCCTCACGGCTCTCAAAACAACAGGCACTGGGAATATACCTACTCATATGACTATAGGGATTATTGCAATAGGCAAATTTGCCAAAATGTTTAACTATCCCTTTTAAGTAATCCATAGAGTTAGTTACATAATTATGTTGTCATTTGATTGAATATTTAACCTATTTCTACATTTCTTAATTTTCAGACTATACACTTGGATGAGGATCATACTTATCCAGGTACCTCCGGATGTCTTGACGTCAAGAGCTCCTGTTACAGGTGTGTTTTGTCTTATGTGTAATTATATATAGAGTGGTGGACAAAATATCAGAAACGCAACATTATTGAGGGGTAAACACATTTCTCTCCTGACAAAGATTAGATGTTGTTGAGTTTAAGCTGGAACAGTGGGTCAACCATTTGATTGGGCAAATTTGTGCTAATCTACTGCTTGTTTATGCATTTATGTGTGTTTATATTTATATTGTGTGCACATAATGTCTTCATTTTGCAGAAACTACACCAATCTCTTTGCACCTATCGTCATTGATTATGATGAGGAGGATGAAGTTCTCATTCCTGAGGAAACAAATGACATGCCCTCAGAAGAATCTGAGTGAGTCATATAGACATAAGTAGAAAATTAACCAGCTCTCTATTCTGTCCAAAATTAAATTATACAAAAGTGAGAAGTCACTAAAATGAACACCAATCTGACTTTCTCTGTCTGTAACTGCTTGAATCAGGTCCAGTTGTTGAGATGTGTGTTTGAAGAGAGTCCATTGGAATTAAGCTAATAAGAATAAAACTTTGCTCATTGTTTTAGAGACTGACTCATCAGTGTCTCTCGTTTCAATGAAGTGTCAGGATATAGTTTATGAATATGGAATGAAAGATTTTTGTTTAGTAAAGTAGCTACTATGCTCTAAAGTCTAAAGTTAGTTTCTCACTTTTCTCTAGACCCACAAGTGTGCAGGCACCTGAAGTAATTGCAAATTTGGCACTTGCAATTGACCGCAAGAAAGTCAGCAGGTTCAATATATCGAGATCTGACGTATGGGATGGAGCCGTCAGAGGATTTCGACGCAGCTCATACTCCGAAAACAGCGACATCTTCGTTAAGTTTACCGACGATGCAGGGTCCTTTGAAGAAGGGTTGGACACAGGTGGGCCGNTGTCTCTCGTGTCAATGAAGTGTCAGGATATAGTTTATGAATATGGAATGAAAGATTTTTGTTTAGTAAAGTAGCTACTATGCTTTGAGTATATTTTTAAAGTCTAAAGTAAGTTTCTCACTTTTCTTTAGACCCACAAGTGTGCAGGCACCTGAAATAATTGCAAATTTGGCACTTGCAATTGACCACAAGAAAGTCAGCATGTTCAATATATCGAGATCTGACGTATGGGATGGAGCTGTCAGAGGATTTCGACGCAGCTCATACTCCGAAAACAGCGACATCTTCGTTAAGTTTACCGACGATGCAGGGTCCTTTGAAGAAGGGTTGGACACAGGTGGGGCGAGGCGAGAATTCCTCACACTTCTAATGAATCACCTGAGCAATCGCCCCATCTTCGATGGACCTCCAGAAAGACGATATCTTGTATATAATTCCACAGGTGGGTTTTTTGGCGTCATTTTAAAATTTGAAGTTTTAAAGCATTTAAAAATTTTTTTTATCTTCCACTGATGTAGATGGTAATTATCCATAATAATTCTGTACTCTCTGTAACAGCTGTCAGGGAAGATGAGTACTTTCTTGCAGGCAAGATGACTGCTGTGTCTATCATACACGGGGGACCAGCACCACATTTCCTCTCAAAGGACCTTGTCAACCACATAATAGGGAAGCCAAGTTTCAGTGCCACTGTGGAAGATGTAACAGATGAGGAGATAGGGAAAGCTCTACGTCAGGTAGAAAATTATCTTGACTGAAGGAATGAATTTACTAAGGGGACACCTGAAAATTATTTCAGTAATTGAGAGTAAGACTACACTCAAGAGATGATAAGTTTTATTTATTTAAAGGGACAGATTTCCACTCATTTCAACGAAAAGTAAAAGTCATTTTATCCTTTTTTTTTTTAAAAATCTAGATTTCTATTAATGAAGGAGAAGAGTAGTCAAGCATGGATATTTTTGGGTTGGTCTTACATTAAATGTCTTTTAAATAGGTCCAGGAAGCAGAATCGGAGGAGTCTTTGCAAAATCTAATTTTGCAAAACAGCACAATGTTCCAAACAGCTGGATGCTTCTGACGTGTCAAAGCTTGTGAGAAGCATACACTCGTGGAGGAGTATCTCAGATGGTACATTATAGACCGCAACCACATTGCCATTCAACNAAGGAAGGACAGATGCATGCGGGAGATGATGCATGGATTAAAGGAAAGACGGCAGGAAGGAGAGATGAGAAAGAGGGCAGGAAGAGATCTTCATCCCCCTCCTGTATTCATCACAACAGCTCCTTTCATACATTCATCTCACATCTTAATCTGTTTTAACCTAAAATAATAGTTATTACATCACCTCCTTCAAAGTGTGGACAAACAACAGGCCAACAAAGTGTATGCCTACCCCCTCTGTATGGGACAGCTTGGCCAGGTCCTTGTCTGAAGCCTGGGGCACTCCTGTTGGCCACTCCACCTTCACCTCCTCATCCTCTGGCGTCTCCTCACACTGCTCCTCCTCCTCTTCTACTTCCTGCCCTTCCTCATATGTCTCTTCTTGCTCTTCTTCTCTCTCCTCCTCACCTCCCTCCTGTGGTGCGGGAAGCTCTGATTCCGAGTTCATGCTTTGCTCTTGTTCTTCATCCACGTGTGTTGTTTCAGGCTTGTTGACTGGCACGTGGGAGAAACAAAGGACATCGGTTATTGATTAAGGATTATTACTTGACCCTTACTGTATGTGAACTGAACAGTCTATCAGAGGTCCTGTGGATCTTAATGTGTCCATGAGTGGATTAAAAGGTAATGGAATTATCACTCCCAGGTTTAAAGGAGGTAACTGAGGTAGGCGCAGATGTTTCCAGTCAGCTCCACTAAATTTGTGCTGAATTTGTGCTAAATTTATGCTTATTGGTGGTGCTCTTTGTCACTGGCTTGTGGCATATGGCTGCGAGTTACTTACTGGGATGAGTTAATCAACTCACCAATCTGTGAACTCTCCTCTTGCTGACTCTGCTACCTACATCTAGTTCATGGTTTTCAAAGGTAACCATCAGTAAACATTAAGAAAAAGATGGGAAAAAAAGGGCGCCAGATAAACTAACATCCTGCTTGCCTTGGATATTAAACTGGACAATGTTCTTGCTGCATTAGTTTCCAAAGTGATATCAGGGACTGTAATATGCTTTGTTTTACCAAGCCTTGGCTAAATCTTGCACAACACAATTCAACCAGATGACTCTTTGTATATGCTGATTTGACGGAGCCTCAGGGTTCTGTTCTGGCTCCTCTACTGTTCTCTCTGTACATGCTTCCCCTTGGCCATATCATTAGTAATTTCAAAGGCGTTTCCTATCACTGTTATGCAGATGACATTCAACTATACCTGTCACTTAAACCGGATAACATTAAAGAAATCAACTCACTCCATGAATGTCTGTCTGCTATCAAAAACTGGATGGCCAACAACTTCCTCCAACTAAATGCAGACAAGACCGAGGTTCTGATCACTGCTGATAACTCAACGGTCTCAAAGGTGATCGACCACATGGGGTCACTATCACAAAACATCAGATCTAACCTAAGGAACCTTGGAGTCATTTTTGACCAAAACATGCTGTTTGACAAACATGTCAATTCCCTGTCCTGCTCATGCTTCTTCCACCAGTCCAGCAGAGGACTCTGGCTTGCTGTGCGCCACAAGGGGAAATAACAAACTGGATCACTGCATACGCCAATTAGAGGCAGCTGCAAAGCAGAGTCACGCCCATGTTTGGCAAGAGCGACCATGCGGCCATTAGTTGAGGTCACGATATGTAAACAAACTATAATGCATCCCCCCAAGTTACATGAGAAATGGAGCCAATCAGACTCTGGGGCACATTCTAGGTGTCACTGATGACATCAATGGATTCATTGAGTCTGTGGTTGATTTAATTTGTAGAACAGAAGCAACTGTACCCAAAGCTACAGTTAAATTATTCCACAACCAGAGGCCATGGATAACCTTGTGCTACCTGAGGATGAAGGCTGGAAATGGATGAAAATGAGAAGATGTTTTGAACTCGATGGGGCTGAGGAGCTGCAAAGCATACTAGATGTTAGTGTTGCACTTATATGGATTGTTAGCCATGCTAGAGGCATGACTCTAAATGGCAATATGTTTGTTTACCCACTACTTTGGTCCAGACTGAAATATCTCAACAACTTTGGATGGATGTAGCACCACAAAACACAGGTTGATATTTTGTTTTGTTTTCTTAGTGAATGTCTCCAAACTGTAAAATGGATTGCCATGAAAGTTGATACACATTCATGTCCATCTCTCAACTTATTGTGAATATTTTGATGATGCTTTGACTTTCCAAAAAGCACTTTCATTGTGTAAAAGTTTTAATTTGTCCAGTGCTGTGGTTTATGACCAAATACCTACAACATGAAAGACAATCCCATTTCCCTCAGCTTTGTGTTAAGTACTAATTAGCAAATGTTAGCGTGCTAACATGCTAAAGTAAGATGGTGAACATATTGTACCTGTTTAGCAGCGTTGTCGAGTCAAGGCCTCCTAAACCAAGACCAAGTCATGATCAAAGACTAGAATTTGTCAAGAACCGAGAGAACCCCTCAAAGACAAGACTTTCAAGAGGAATGCATGACACACTTATCATAAAATGTGAAACATGCAAACCATAGGGTCTCATCAAATTGAGATTGTACCATGAGAAATGTCTGGATAAGTCATCAAAAGGCATTGCAAAGGTAAATGTTAGGATGTTATCTATGAGCAAACAAACACAAACACTAAGGAGCTAAAATCACCTTAACCATCTTTATTCAACACTCCTTTTTTGCACAGGCAATTTGTGATATCCCTTCAGTTGGTCTTAAACTAAAATCCAGAGTCCTCTTTGTCCAACACCAACACAAGACCTAATTAAAATGTGGTCAATTCCGAGACAGTCAGACTTTATTTTTTTAGTTACAGCAACATGTAACCAATCAAATGAAAGCTTAGAGTGCTGGGCAGTTTTCTATAGCTATTAAAAAACTGATGTTTCTCACCAAATACCGACAAATTGGGAAGATTTCCTATAGGTCATAGCTTTTTTCATATTTTTTCTGCTAAATTTTGCAAAAAAAAGCCAATTACGCATAGACATACATTTTAAATCATTAAAATAACCATTTTAATTGATTTCTCGTGCTTAATGTATGCAAAAAGATGGTTTATTTGTCTCTGTACAATATATGGTTCAAAAGTTGTGGATATATTTGATTTTTAATTTTTTCCATATATTCCGATTGATTGAATTCGAAATTCTGCCGGAATTCCGATGACTACCCTTTTTTGTGATGGGAACATCAAAATTCATTATCTACAGACCTTCACGATTCCAAAAATATAGGTTTCATTTAGAAATCCACCGTGACCATGGGGACCCCCCCTTCCTACTAGACTATATTATTGTCAAAACCAGGGTTCCTACAGCTAATGGCAAGTTAGATTTAAGAATTTTTAATGGCACATGAAAAGAAATTTAAGACCAATAGTACAATAACTAACTGAAAAAACATGAACTGACATATAAAAATAGAGACAATTTGGCACAAATGTTTTTTGCAGCATAAAACACGACTTCTTTGTATCTTGGTGAAGACAAGGGCAGAACAGAGCCTGGAGATATCTGCTGTTTGTTGGTGAGTTTTCTGGGTGATTTTGGTTTCCCTCCATATCTGAAGAATACCACTGCACTGTCCTGACCGATGACAACTCCTGGTCCTTTCTACTCTGGACAGTCCACTCATTTGTAGCGCTCTTAATCACCCATTTTGTATCTCTCATCTGTGTGATGTAGCTGTTTTCGTAGTGCTCTGCTTATTCTTTCTGGACATACTGCTTCTGTAAATGCCTTCCTTGATGCATGTAAGACAGAGATGTGTTTTGCCACCCATTCACTTTTTGTTGTGCCATCTAAAGCTGGGGTTTATCAGTTAGCACAGAGGGCAGGTTGGGATTCTGTCCAAACACCAAGTGATATGGGCTGTGTTCATAGACATTTTGCATGTTGTTCTTTACCATGAGAGCCCAATCCAGCGCAGTGTTCCAGTCACCACCATTACTTGTCTTCACTTTCATTATGATCTCAGTAAGTGTCTGGTTGTGTCGCTCCGTAAATATTGTAAATAAATAATAGTTTTTAAAAAAGAATCCTGAGACGCAACCGTTGCTCAGATGTCATAGCTCCTCGAGTTCTGTTGTCGGTGTAATGTAAGTTTATGTACAGCTGCTGACAGAAGTCTGAGGAGAAATCCTCTAACAGCTCAAATTAACTTAATGTGTCACCATGTTTAAGAATGTGGCTTGTCTGACCAATTCTGGTTCCATATGTGTTAAAATAACAAAACTAAAAGTAATATTTCTGTTAATTTAGCCCAGGCATGTCCAAAGTCTGGCCCAGGGGCCAATCGTGGCCCCTTTGTTATTCAAAATATACTATATGTGGTCCACCACACAATATTGGTGAAACACGAAGATTATTTTTTTACTGTCATTCAGTTTGTAGACATGCACCAAGTAGGAACTACACAAGCTGACCTAATGTGTTTCCTTAAACAGATGACAAACAAGCAAACGAGCAGCTACCTAAGAGCAGATATTTCCCACTATAGGTAGCAGACATGGCCACAGTAAAGTCAACAGCGAGGGCCGCAACTTTCAGGAGCGCTGGAAAGTAGAATGCTTTTCACTAAAAGATTAAACAGTTGGGTT